CATCCTCCCTTCTTCCTCGATCTCTCGTGGGGCCGCCCCCACTTCTCTTCCGACGCCTGCGATTGGTCGGGGCGGGTAAAGGGTGGTGGGGGAGGACCGGGAAGCCCCTCCCTCGAGCAGCTTCAATGGGAAAGTCGCTTGCAAAACTTTCAGTTTGTCTGCGGAGGAAACGGAGGCGCCGTCCAGGCAGGGGAGGGCAGGGAAGGGAAGGGAACCCCGGACCCCGACTGGGCTGGAGAGAGGCGACACCCACCCACCCACCGCCGACACCTCAACCGTCCGGCAACCGAGCAAAAGCCGCGAAGAGGATCGCCAAAGGGGGCGGCCAAGGGAAAAGGAGAGGAGAAGAAGAAGAAGGGGAACCGGAGTGGCTTCGGATTAACAGGAGGCGGGAATAGGATTCTCAAAGCAGACGTGGGGTGGTTTTTTGGGGGCAAGCCCAGCTGGTGCATCTCGCGGCCACCGCCTGGGGGAGGAGGGCTCCTCACCTGTCCTGCCTTACCTGGAGCCCCCTTGGGTGGGTGGGGGGTGCAAGAGGAGGAGAGGAAGAGGAGGAGGAAGGCAGCCCCCCAAAATGAGCCAGCATGTCTGATAAAATGTCCAGCTTCCTCTACATCGGCGATGTGGTCTCGCTTTACGCCGAGGGCTCGGTCAACGGCTTCATCAGCACCTTGGGGTAAGGGGCGCTCGGAGGAGGAGGGGGAGGAGGGGGAGTCGAAAAGGAGGGTGGGGGGCTCGTCCGTCCCATCCTCCGCTGGCTTTCGCTTCTCTGGAGCCCGGCCTGCCTTTTGCTTCCGTACAGGAAACAAGAGCCGGGGCCCGTCCAAAGCACCAGCTGGGTCGCTAAGCGAGGCGCGGGAAGGAAACGTTTCAAGCCCACCCCTCCTTCCCTCCCTTCCTTCCAGCTGGACTATAATAACGACTCGGGGATGCTTCCTCAACCTTGGAGGAATTTATAACGAGAAGAGTAGACAAATTTTGGTTGGTCCGGAAGGGTACAGTATAGAGGGGAGGTAGGGGTCTCCTGGTTTGAGTAGGGGGGGTTCGGACTAGAAGACCTCTAAAGGTCCCTTCCCATGTTGCTCTCCTCTCTCGGGAGAGACCCCTCCGCAACTCTGGCCGCGCTTGGCTCGGCTCCGGCTTTTGACAGCGTCTCCCTTCCCACGTGCGCGGGGGGGGGAGGGGAAGTTGGGGTGGGGGCCCCAGATCAGAGCCTCCTTTGGCCTCGATAGGTTTCCCCTTCCCATCCCGAGTAGCTCAAGGGGGTCCCGGCTGCCCAGGGGATCGAGCCCCGGAGGTGGAACCGCGCGAGACTTCGTGGGGAGATGGCACCCGCATAGAGGGTGCCATGTGTGTTTTGACTTGCTGGCTTGGAGAGGCGGGGAGTTCCTTAGGCGGCTCGGTCTGGTTCCCCCCCCCCACCTGGCCCAGGTGGGCAGGCAGGTGAGGTCTGGGGGAGATGCGCCTCTATTGACGGTGTGGGTCCTTCTCGTTGGCCTGGGGAGTGGGGGAGGGGGCTTAGACAGAAGAGGAGGAGGAGGGCAGGAGAAGAAGCCGCGGGGTAAGGAAGTCCTTCAAGAGGGATCCAGCCTACAACTAAGGGCAGGTTTCCTGGAAATCTCCTGCTG